AAACAGTAGATACTAATATTGTAGGATTATAACCATTTCATACCAAGAATGACGTCGAAATCCGACATCCATAAAACGACTAGGTCAAAGATGAACTCAAACTCATCTATTTTGATGACACATCTCCTATATATACTCTCTAATAAGGACACCTCCCCTAGAGGAGTAGAATCTGATAACAGAACATCTAAGGGAAGTGTAACTAACTGAAGCTTATACATGAAGACATAAAATATGATAGAATACGAAGTTTCTGAATCAAACAAGATTCGAGCTAGAAAAGAATTTATTACGAAAACTCCGCTCGCACTATGCTCACGCGGTATGACCACATAAACCCTGTCGGTGGCTAGTGACTGTTGTGCCATCGGTGGTGGAACGTATGGGTCCATCTGACCCTGATGAATACTCTAAATAGCGCAATTCTAGCCTATTGGCCCCTAAATTCTTAGAATAATCGGTAGTACATCTATCCTCGGATACTAGCCGTAACCGCGGCCCTAAGACTATTGCCCCTGACCTCTGTCATGCTGGTCTCCTGCTAGTGTATTGTGATAATTCTTTAATCTATATCCGATCTTGTTATAATTGTATCATGTGTCCCGAATCATGCGCTGCTGCGGCGCTATTAAATCATGTTGTACTATCTTCTCATAATGTCTTTGTTAATGATGGTAAAAATCCTTACCCCGCTACTGGGATCCTCTAGATCCCACAATAGGCCTCTTGCCCTTATTATTGTCGTCATGCTGGTCTTGATTTCATAATTAACTATAGACATATTTCACTGCTTCAATCGAACTCTCTCTAACTGCTTGTCGAAGAAGTAATTAAAATTTTTCCAAATAAGTGATATACGTTGTCCCGGCGAAAATCTTAAATCGTAGCTATCCTTTGCTGCTATTCCCCAGTGATGTCCTTTATGCTAACTATTTTTAACCTCTGGTTTGGTATGAGTCGACGTTAAGAAATTTTTACATATTCCTTTTTATTTGTAAGTTGCACATGAATACAGTGTGCCCTGCACTATAATGTTCTCAGTGTCTGATATCATTCCTATTCTTTCAGAGCCAAGCGTCATGCTATGCAGTTCTATCAACAGTTGGTTGTGGTGATGATGAAATCATTGGTATTGCCTCTTCATTAAGCATGACTAGTACAATTGGTGGTGGAACTCTAGAAAGTGATACTGCTGGCGACAAAGGATACGCCACTCGCTCCTCGAGTGCTACAAAATCTTATTGCAAACGGTACCATAAAGTCGATCAGATACTATGCAGCCTACTGCGGCTTGGGCTCTGCTTGCTCAGCTTTCTGGGTACGAGTTTTATCTCGACCGTATCCTCGTCCCAACATTTATAATATCGAGAGGAGAGCTTATGATCATAGTAAATGAGATCGCAAATATATATACATATATATAATGTATCACAATACGCATACATAACATATAGTGTTCATGCAAATACTTTAAATCAACATAAAATAATTGTCATAAAAAAATTTTGAAATTTTGAGATATACGCACATATCGTCCTCACTCATTCTAGGAATTTCTAGCAGACTCTAAACATGAATACTAGGAAACTCTATCATATCTCCACAATTTGACACGGGAATGATCCTAAGGATGCTGGAACTAGAACTATAATACCAACTGTGACGCCCTAGGGTTCACACAAGGTTGCAGTCCAAGGTAAAACCCGAATTGTCAAACCTGCCAAGAACCAAACACCAAACACCATGCTACGACATATTTCATCATCACAGTCACTATCTCTCTAGTGGAAACAAAAAATAGGTGAAGGTACAAAACAGGCAAATAATAGAAGTAGTACAAAACCAGATATGCACGGAAGAAGTATATCAATAAATGAGCCCAACTGAAATAGAATGAGAATATCTCTGAGTCTGAAATACATCTCAACACAATGAGTCAAATAAAATCTCACTAAGGCACTCGGCCTCTATAAAATGAATACAATTCTAAAGTCTGAACAATGAACATAACTATATAGTGAAGCTTTAACTGCAAAAATTGAACGACGGCAACTATGCTAGAACTCTGTCATCCTGCGGCTCTCCGAAACTTTAATCTGCCTAAAAGATATAATTTAAATAAAAACAACAACAACAAGAGCTTCAGAGCGCTACAGCAAGATCACCTCCCTCCGCCCCCAGAGGAAGGCTGTTAGATGAAGTGGAGGCTCTATCTATTAAGCATAGTTATATCATTTTTTCGTATCTAATGGAGTTAATATTTAGACACCTACAAGACGAGACATAGTACGTCGAGCGAAATAATCCAGACAAGGAAACTCTCATATATATACCATATGTCTTAAATTGTAGATCCCTAAATACCAATTTCAACTCTATGAATGAAAACAACACTCAAAAGAAATACTCTAAGCCTAAACTATATAGGAGCAATATCACAATCTCGAACTACTTCTTAAGTAGTTGGTGCAATAATAAGAGAATATCGTTCAACACAAAAATCACCATAGGCCATATCATGTATGCTACAAACCAAAAAAATGTGTCCTACTCATGGGTAATCTAACATGGGAGTAACTACAACTGATGATACATATATGTGTGCATCTCCTTATGGGTAATCTAACATGGGAGTAACTACAACTGATGATACATATATGTGTGCATCTCCTTATGCAATAGCGATACTCTTGTAATATTCTTACTCAATCGCTCTGCGGCAATAGGTTTTGTCTCTCTATTCCGGATACATAAAATAATGATACTATTGTAATACTCTTACTCAATCATTCTGCGACAAATAGGTTTTATTTTCCTATTCCGGATACATAAAATGACGATATTTTTGTAATATTCTTACTCAATCATCCTGCGGAAATAGGTTTTATCTCACTATTCCGGATACATGAAATGACGATACTTTTGTAATACTATTACTCAATCGTCCTACAGAAATGGATATTATCTCCCTATTCCGGATACATGAACAACTATACTTCTTTAAATGTGCTTACCAATTCAACTTGCGACAAAAGTATGTTAACACAATATAAACTAAGCATATGTGCACATATCTCTGTGTGCATGACCATAACTAAAGTTTAATAACATCTCAGATACTAAACAATTCTTAATCATTGTAATATAACAGTACAAGATCGAGAAACTCTCTCGAAAATAACAAACAAGAGCAAAACTCAAGAAACTTTCATGTTATATATCAATTATTTCAAATCAGCACATTTGTAATTTTCTGTAGAACATATCATTAGTCAGTTGAACATAACAAGCATGATTATTTGCACAAGAAATCATATTTAAACCTTCAATCATGTTTAAAACATACTGAAACATTTATAAAATATAAAACAACACTTAAACTTTGACAATCACCTACTGAAATTGTCTCGAACATAAATCAAACTCTTGTGTTAATCTAATTAGGGTTTTTTAACCTAATTAACCAAATTCTTTAATCTAAATCATAAACTTTTAACATATTAAACATAAGCATGAGTGTCAAATAACTTAAAAAAGATATACATTTATTAAATTATATTTTTAACACTTAGGTATCACAAACCTAGGGTTTTCTCATCTTTATCCACATGTAAACTTAATTAAATGTCAAATTAGGGTTTAAACATGATTAGAACATGAATAACAAGTTAAAAATAAAATTTTTAAGAACCCTAATAATCATGATCATGTTTTTATTATAAACAGTAAGAAAAACATGTAGATCTAACATTTGTTTAATATCTAACATTTGTTTAAGATCTAACAACAAAAACCTATTCTTTTTCACATTTGATTAAGATCTAAGCATGTAAACACAATTTAAACTTCTAAACTAGTTATTTAACTTAGGGCATGGGTTTGGATGTAAGTGATCTTGCTTTAATATCATGTGCAAGCCTCTAACACAAATAGCAAGTAAACCACAAGCATAAACAACCCGTTCTCCCTCGCCACACGTCGATGATCTCGCCCTCGTGTCGATGTTTTGCTTCACAAAGCTCTCCAAACTCATAAGAAAAAGTTCTAGGATTTTTTAGGGGAGATGATGGTTACTAGGGTTCATAGATATGATAAAAGAAATGAATTTTTGTGAAAAACACAGGTATTTATAGAGGCAAACCCGAAACAAACATGTTTGACCCGAATCAGGAAACCTAGTCTGACTAGGAAAACAACCTTCGGTATTTTGGCTGTAACTTTCTCATCCGACCTCGGAATGAGGTGATATAAGATTTGTTAGAAAGCTGTTGAAGAGATATAAAATTTTGATCTTTTATACTTTTTCAGATTCTGACTGCATCGGTATGCAAAACATAGAAACTCATAACTGATCATTTTCCCAGATTTTCACTCTTTTGGCCTTTGTGCATTTGTACTCATATATTTTCACAAATATACATTGAATTGATCTCAAATCAATTCTTATCACATTCAAACATCAATATAAGTTATTTTTTACTATATAACATATTTATTATTATTTATCATAAAATATTCAAATTTACGAGGTCTTATATGCATACTTGTATTTTAGAAATAATTAAAATGTTCTTAAAAGGAAAATTTTCAATTTTTTTCAATTTGTCATTTACAACTCCTAGATTTGTTCTCTCAAGAAATTTTTTTAATTTTTTTTCTTTCAAACTACGCTCTACATGCAAGTGAGCACAGTGACAAATGTACAACGTTCAGAGGCATTTTGTGAAACACCTCCGAGCTCAGGGGGCTTAAGCGGGATAAACAAATTTCAAGGAATGATTTGAACATCCCCAAAGTTCAGGGAATTATATGTTATTAGCCCTTTAATCATTCTTAAAAAATTTATGAAATCAGCAAGTCTCAGAATTCTTTGAATTCTTGGCAACGATTTATTTTTTCTAAAATGAAAGATATTTCTTGGCTGCATCACTAATACCCGCTGGAGCAAGGCATCAAGGACACTTTGATCAGTCAATCAAAAGAACATTATCGTTATAGGAGACGCATCACAAAGACCCTCAAAGAATATATTGCTCTCATATATTACAGCTTCAAGCAACATGAACATACGACACGTCTTTGACAGCAGAATCCGGGTCTTAACTTCATGCAAAACCAGTCAGAAATATATCCAATTCTCATACAAACAAACAACACTCCTATCAAAAGCTATAATTTATACAATAAAAACATACAATGAGGGACACAATTTCTCCTGCCTAATTATTTGATAGCATCACTGAAGATTTGTGGAATCATGATATGCTGTGATATGAAAATCAATGGGAACTGACAAGGAACGGATGCTGGCAAACTCCACATTCTATTGTTTCAGAACCTGATGCAGGGACTTGTACCTGTAAATAAACAAAAAGACAGACATTTATAACTATCAGATGTTCCAATCTCTCTCGAAAATTGGTTCACACGTCAACATTAAACAAATTATAGCAGATATTATCTATCAGTATTCTCACAAGCAAATGGCTCAAGATTTGACCTGTAGATGGACGGTACAGATGGGACATGCAACTTCCCTCATTCTTCTCCCAGGTCCATCTGAAGTCTTTGATCCTACTCACAGACAAACGGAAAAGTTGAATAAGATTCAAAGAGAGAACCATGATTCTGATTCAAGCAAAAGGGATCTAGATATTTAGAGATCTTACCTGATGATGATTTGCGATTTCTTTCCATTTCCTCCTGTTAAAACCCATCACAAGTTAATCATAAAGCAGCAAAAAAGTTACTCATATAAAAAAATAAAAAATTTAAAATAAATAAATAAAATAAAGATCATAGGCCTATTAGCGAGTCAGTTGCAAGACTGCCAAGAAAGGTTGATATCTGAAAAAAAAATGCTATTTCCATGATTGATAACAATGCCCCAATTCCTTTGACAATCTAACCACAATGGCCAGCATATAATTGACAAAGAAACCCATAAATTTTATATGTTTTTTTTTTGCAGAAAAGACCAAAGCTTCAATACATATTTTTTGCAGACACTCATAAAAGCTGATGAGAAAGTAATTAGCAAATTTATTAAGGTAGATACATTAGTACATAAAGGATATGTACTAATTAGCAAATTTATTAAGGTAGATACATTAGCAAATTTATTAAGGTAGATACATTAGTACATAAAGGATATAGAGCAACATGAAGAGCATTTGTAAGAACAAGGAAAACATAGTTCGACTCATTTGCCAGAAGTTAATTGGCATAAGCCAACCCAAAAAGTTTGGATTCGGATCCTCTCCACTAAAAAAAATAGTGCAGGGACCACTACATAATCACAGCCATTGATTATCTAGTTGATGGTTATGATTTTTTTCTTTTAGTGCAACTACATAATCACAGCCATTGATTATCTAGTTGATGGTTATGATTTTTTTCTTTTAGTGCAAATTAGGAATGAGTGCAATACACGGGGGTATGGTAAGTGTTAGATTTAGATTGTATCATAACCGCCTACTAAATAATCAATGCTTGAGATTAAAAGTAGTGGTCTCTCCACTACTTTTTTGTAGTGGAGAGGATCCAAATCCAAAAAGTTTGGGATAAAAACTTTGCTGTTATGTAGTAGTTCCTAAGAATGCAAGAAGAAGCCACTAAGATAAGAATGGGTTCATTCAACAGTGATGCTACAATCTAGAAGACAACATGACATGTAACCAGCAGATCAGGAACTTGACATTGCACTATGGTACTGCCGCATTTTAGATAAAATAATTGAAAACTGGCATGCAACTTAACAAGTTTAATACAACCTGGTTTCTTTAATTGTTTCGAAAAGGAGAAAAAAAATAATAGCATTACAGTATTCATGCACCTTCAGCTACAATACTGGCGAAATCTAGAAGACAACATGACATGTAACCAGCAGGTCAGGAACTTGCCATTGCACTATGGCACTGCCACATTTTAAATAAAATAATTGAAAACTGGTAATCCAACTTACGTCTTTAACAAATTTAATACGACCTCGTTTCTTTAACATTTGGAAAAGATAAAAAAATAATGACATCTGATTTCCAATATTCATGCACCTTCATCTATGAAGATATGAGCAACTATCTAGTATTGCTAAAAATACACAACTTTTAAGTATGAAAACAAAAGAATTTTATTTACAAAGAAATTCAAACTCTAAACTCACCTGAAGCTTCTTAGCAAGGTCCTCATGGCTGTGAATTGCAATAGATTTATTGGCAGTCTCCTTCGCATTGCTCAACCTCTGTGACACTTCTGCCTGTAGTTGTCAAATATAAATACAGTCAAGTATGAATAAGCCATGGTAGATATCTGAAAATAGAAAAAGACCAACTTTCATTTACTATAACCAACAGAAATCATTTTACTTAAAAGCTTAAACTATAGGGCTGGGCATTAACAATATATACATCACAATGTATATCTAACATATAATCAATATTCATATTTAATACTCACCAGGTCAGCCTTTCAGCCACATGAAAAGGCCTAAGGTTTTGAACTTTGTTAAGAAAATATAGAATAACAGGGGTACAAAATTGTAATTTAAATTTGAAAGCAATGAGGTCTAAATCCAAGACCTCTTGAAACATAATGCTTTAAACACCATCTCAAGAGCCAATCCATCCAAAAGCTTAAGGCTGTGGGTTAATATAATATTCTTCAATCATTCATATAAAGAGCAAAACAAAATTGAAGTTCAGTTATTTTTGCATTAATTGTTAAACAAATAAATCCATTGGAGTCTTACATCCAAATACTCGGGTTTGTTAGCCCTTATGTTTTGATGATGTTTTACAACCACCATTATCGGTACTAATGGCTTATTGAGTTGTTTTGATGATGTTTTACAACCACCATTATCGGTACTAATGGCTTATTGAGTGCAAATATAGTAAATTCTTTTATCAAGCTCGTTAGTGCCATTAATGGAGGATGGATGGAATATATGCTACAAGGATGATATCCAAAGGAAGAGGTCAAGAGATGAAGCAACGTTATTTTAATAACGACAAATTCGAATAAAAGCTTCATCCGATTCAAGCTATATCAAAGCTCAAGTATTGCTCTCTATATGAGGATATTAGCTTTCTTTTGTTTTTCTCTCTAGTGCTAGAATATAGGCAAAGAGTTACTGAGTTTACTTGAAGCTATTGGGAATCACACACACGTTTTCATACTTGTGTTTTTAAGCGTTTTTCACAAAATACTATTTTTCACAAGTATGAGGACCTATCTGCAAAATTTCTTTTCCAAGCAGTTTGTTTTTAGTATTAAAAACTTTTTACAAAGTTTCAGAATTTACAGAGATCAAATAAATATTTTACAAATATTTCAAGTTGAGTCAAAATCTGTTTTCTGCAATATATCAGAAAACGGTCGACCGGTCTGGTCGACCGCTCCTATGATCTTTAGTCAGAAGTTTCCAGAGAGTTCATCGGTCGACCGGCGCGGTCGCCCGAAAGCTCAAATCTTTGGTCGACCGACCGTGTCGGTCGACCGATTAAGTCTTTGCTCGTTTTCTAATTTTTCAAAGCGGCTAGCGGTCGACCGGATTTTTCGGTCGGTCGACCGACGTAGTTTTTCGGTCGACCGAACGTTTACTTCGGGCGACCGAATTTCTCTTCGGTCAGCCGCGACTTTTTCAGACGGTCATTTGCCTAGTAAACTGCGCTTACACTTAACTGTGTTTGGCACAGTCTGAGATAAGGGTCTGTAAAGGAGATTATTATCCTATTTGGGAAGATTGGGTTTTGTTTTAAATTGATTTAATCTCTTCTATAAAAACCCCAGTCTTCTTCTTCCTCCTTAGCCCTAACGTTTGCAAAAACCAGAGTCTGCTGTTTCCTGAGAAAAATTTTCAAAGTCTGGTTTCTGTGTTTTCTCTCTGTTTTTAAGTGTGATTCACTTCCCAGCTTCAGTACTTTTTCTCTTTGCTATAAGGGCTGTGTAAAGAGAGTCTTGCATCTTTTCTTCTGCTGTGTGAGTGAGATCTTGTGTAAATCAACTGTGAGGGAGTGTGATCTGTTGAGATCAAACTGTGTAGTGAGAGAGATCATGTGGGATCGCTGTGTAGACGAAGTTCCGGCTTCCAAACCGGGTGTGTAGTGGATTTCTCCTCGAGAGTGGGGAGCGGGGACGTAAGCCAGAGGGCCGAACCTCGTTAACACATCGCGCGTCAAGGATAACGAACTCCTAACCCTATCTCTCTTACTTTAATTGCTTTACTGTTTTGTGGTTTCCTTGTGTTTGTTTTTTTATTGCATATTAGAGCCTCTTGACCCTAATCACCCCCCCCCCCTCTAGGGTCCAACAGGGTTCACATTGGATAACTCTGCAGATTGATATAATGGCCTTTCAAGAGTTTAAGAGATCACACAGTGCAATCATTGGATAACTAGTGTCTGAAAGCATGTGCAGATTTATATATCTCTGCAGATTTATATCACAGCCTTTCAAGAGTTTAAATTTACGAAGACGAAAATGATTGGAGCAGGAACCACTCTAAGAACAAATGGTATGCCTACAGTAGGGGGGAAGAACTCCAAGGATCACACACAACAAAGGAAACTGGTGTCTGAAATTAAAGCATCAAGCAAAGATAGCTAAAAATAACAGGTTTAGGAGGTTGTTAATCCAAAATTAAAACAATAAAAAATTGTATAATATAACTTGCTAAGGGTACTTACACAGTTAATGAAACAAATAATTCCATTCACAGATTGATAAATTCACAACAGTAGTATCCTACTATCCTGCTTTATGAGCAGCTAGTTAACAGGATTCACATCACATTACTGTAGAAGGCATGTGCTACATACCATGCATCTGTCACAGACGCGAACTGGTTGAGCCTGTTCATCTGCAGTAAGAGCAATTCTACCCTGGGTACATTTGTCGCAGAAGATATCACCACAATTCCTGCAATGATGCTGAGTAATAGTACCCTTGTCAGCTGACTGAACATGGATAAGTCTAAAATGGAATGAAAATGATCCTGAAAACAATCACCTTACGCACGAAAGCTCCAAAATCTGCTGCACATGATGTGCATTTGGAGACCGCTTCATCTGGAACCTAAATGCATAACGTAAAATATGCACTAAGAAATTGAAAATATACAACATAAAAACTAACAGATAACTTTCTAAATGCAATAGGAGTAATAAATGCATAAAATTGAGCCTTCACCAAGATACTGACTGGCCTGGATACAACCAGAGACTATGGCAAACCAACTTTTACATCTAAAACCATTAGCTACCCAAATAACAAGGACACAAAGGCTAACTCTATCATCTAATATATAAAAAAATAAAACTATCTATTATATGTAACAGGCATCATCCCTTTTTGAGAGCTATGACGTATATAACCTCTGAAATAACATATATACATCCATATATAACTTCGTTAACTTCAGATTCCTTCTTCACTTGAACTAGTCATGATCAGTTGAACTTCTTGAAACATTGTGTGATCAAATTAGAAGGAACCGCAATAGTGTCTGTTTTATACTATTTGATGACCACAAAAAACTAAAAAACCTTTTCTGTGTAACCTAAAGGGAATGTTACTAGGTATTGCAGAACTTCAGTAGTTCAAGGGGCTTTAAAAACATCCAATAGCAAACACTGCTCCAAGCCCAAGGATATGTTAAGAACCATGCTCCTCCCTGACGGCCTCACACACTCTGGCGGTTAAAGGGGTTAGTAATATCATCAATAGTAAACCCTATTTTAGGCACTGTTAACCTTTGTCCTCCCTGACGACCTCACAAAGTCATCCTCCACAAATGAGGTCATTTGGACATATACGACTAGCATACAGGATTTTATAGCATAACTTATCACATCATATCCAAATCTGATCTCCTAAGAATTAGCATACACAAAATTTGAAGATGAAGGTTAAATATACCTTAAAACCATAAACGGAGAGGGGAAACATGTAGTGAAGCAGTCACCTCACTCAGCTTTGATTAACATTTCCCTTTTTAAATTACAAACAAAAATTGCCAATACTATCAAACTCCAAATCCTTACTCACATGTGCGAACACATGAAGCAAGACATAAATGTAGCACATATGTGCCTTTATAAGTTTGCATTGACAAGCTAAAAACCAATACAGCAATTTCCTTTTGCATTGACAAGATAATAAGCAGTTCTATAAAACATAGCTTAAAGCTAACTTGACCCTGAAGAAAAATGGTACTTAAGCACAATGTTTGTTTCTTCTAAATAATAAATAATTAGCATGTAAAATCCAAGGAAGCAGCTTTATGAGTAAAATTGATCTAAAGAAGGAAAAGTTTCAGACATACCCAATGGTCTTTCTCCTCATTGCCAGGTTTTACAAAATTCATCCAATCAGCCAAACCTTTCTTCTTGTCAGCTGTCTGCTCAGGGGGCTTGCTAGCATCTGTACTGCTTCTAACAAGACTATCGTTTCCACCCATCTCCTTAAGCTATGTCCAGTATAACCATTAAAAAAAGACAAGCATCACAAACATGTATAATACCATGGAATACTATTTGAAAATATAACAGGTGACAATAGCAATCAAAAAGTAAGATAAAGTAAAACTAAAATGTCCACTTGTACACAGAAAGTTCTTGCCGTAAATATCAACTAGATACCTGTTCTGGTATGTAAAATGCGATTAGGTTTCAATCAATTTTCAGAAAAGAAAAAAAAATCATTATTACATTAACATTCTTGTTCAGGATGAATCTGTTCAACCTGAATTTAGCCCAATCAATTCAGGTTTTTGTAACTTAGTTGCGATTTGATTGGAACATATCAACCAAAATCAATTGTGTTAAGTTAGGCTTGATACTTCTTCAAAAAATAAAAATGGTGAGTTATATGTCTCCATTAAATACTTAACCAGCATACTGTGTTCCTTGCAACCACATATGTGCGAAATTGACGCACGGTCAGAACCAAGGTTTGAAATCTCAGCCATATTAGATCATCCCCTTTCTTGGTAGCAGTATTTTGTACTTCAGCCATTTCGAGATCACAAACAATTCAGATTGTTGACATTGAAGCCTTAAGGGGGAAAAAGCTAAGAGGCGAGTTATGTGTCTCCATAATATACTTAAGCCGCATGTTATGTTCCTTGTGGCTGCATGCATGCTGCAAAATTGACTCACGGTCAAACCCAAGGTTTCAAATCTCAACCATTTTAGATCATTCCCCTTTCTTGGTAGTATTATTTGGCATTTCAGCCATTTCGAGATCACAAACAATTCAAATTGTTTGAAATTGATTATAAGGGGCAAAGCTAACTGTTTTCTTTATATATAAAAAACTACCAGGATTTCAAATGATGTTTTCAATAAATTGATGAACCTTAAGGTTGTGTTTGGGAAACTAGATTTGAATTTGAGATGTAGATTTCAAATCAAAGGATTTGAAATTTACAAATTGAAATCCATAGATTTTGTAAATCACTTGTTTGGATGCTTTTATTTAATGAGAGGACTTCAGATCTTAATTCAAGTCGATTTTTCATAATGTCTCTATGTATAATGTGAGGGGTTTTCTTGCTAAATGGCTCCTCCAAACTATAATTAACCTTAAAGAGCAAATATTAATTACAATTTAGAAATGCACAAATGAAGAAAAAAACGAAGGAATAACCCAATCATGATTTGCAAATTTAGTTTAAAAACAAACATAGGGATCAAATTGCAATAACTGTTATAAATGGAGGGGACTTATTGACAACTTCAATAATTTGAGGGACTTTGGTCAAACATCAAAGATTTAAGGTACCAATATCTAAAAAAACATTTTTTGAACTCAATACTCTTTGTTATTGTTGTTCATGTATTTCATCAGATCTTATTACTTTGGACAAAACCAACATTTTTATACCAATCGTTGCTGTTAAACCCTTAATCAAGTCAAAAACGTCAAATTTGGGCGCTAAATGGAATTGAATTTACAATAGGGAGCAAGGAGGAAATGTAAATCTTGATCTTCAGGCTCCTTTCTTCCTTGTCCTGCCATGGCAGCCTTTTTCAAGCTCTGCAACAACTGAGCTTCATAGGTTTTAGAATTGAGAGAGTTGGGTGGGAGGATTAGAGGGATGTCGACGAAGAGGAGGCCTCAGGTGAGACACCGATGACGAGGAAGTCTCAGGCGATGCGCCGACAACAAGGAGGCGGCATTCAGGTGAATCGCAGTAGATCTAGGGTTATGCGAGAGGAAGACTACAAAATGATTTTGGGAGACGAAATCTAATATCGTGATCGTAATTTGAGGGAATGGATTTGCCAAATCACAGGGGTTAGGCGAAGATTTGAAATCTCAGTTATTGGGCTTTGAAATCAACCCGTTCAAAATCAACTGATTTAAAATTCATGGCCAAAATTCTGCCCAAACTTAGGATTTGGATTTGAGCTACCCTTGATTTCAAATCCAGGGTCTAAATCCACATTCCCAAATAGACCCTAAAGAGCATATTCTGATGAAATATATATGATTTAGTAGCTTATACAGCAAGAAATTTCCACAGGATAAGCATTTGACTTAATAATTTAACTTACACGAATAAGTACTGGAGTTAAATAATTCTCAAAAAAAAAGTAGTGGAGTTAAATATGTTGGTCGAACTAAAAGTTGTATCTATTTTATCCATTATACTTTGCGCTTGGGATGTTTGATTCAATGAATAGGAAAACAATTCTAAAAGATATTTCTTGAATCGCTAAACTGTTTATGAAACAAGAAAATAGATAGATTGTAGACATTACCTTTTTTTTTTTTTTGCTTGAAGGACTTTAACAAAGTAACAAACTACATTTTTATTTATGTTTATGCAGTGCAATAATAAATTATGCTATTAGAGGGTTTGCAAATTATACTAGTCATATCATACTCCCTTTAAAAGCAGGAGTTCAGAAAAATCTTTTGGTAGACAAAAATACCCTTGAAATTCAAATACTAATCCATTAAGTGAGAATGAGTTGATAAATTGATGAATTCTTATTAGATATACATAGTATGAAGATAATGATATAGTTTAAATTAAAATGTAAACATGAATGAAATTATTAAATGCTAAATTTTAAATGTATACAAGATGAAGGGCGTATATGCAAAAACCAAATAAATTAATGAGACAAATAATGTCCGCCCCAGAGATCGAACCCAGGAACAGCACAGACCCACTAATGTACATAATGTGGATGGGGTATTTGCAAAATCCACCAAACAAATTAAAGAGACAAAATCGTTCTCAAAATTATAAAAAAGAAAAATTAAAACAAACGGCTACGATATAAGGACACAACGTGACAATCTCTCACCAATTAAAATTCAAGTAGTTCACGGTACTGCATAATTAGTTTTAAAGTTTAATTATACTTTTATTATTTAAATAGAACTCTATTTACAATTGTTATCCTCCCACATGCAACATCACATACCAATGTATATAAACCAAGAAATTACAATAATTTTCATAGCACTTTCATCTCCTTCTACAAATATATGTCTTTGTTATTTTCTTCTTATTAGATTAGATTAAATTATTTTAAAGCAATTAATTATATTATATATTTGATCTTTTTCACATCAAGAAATATCAACAATTTTCACAGCACTTTCATCTATTTTCTTCATATTAGATTAGATTACATTATTTTAAAGCAATTAATTATATCGTATGTTTGATTTTTTTTCAGATTAAAAATTATAATAATTTTCATATTACTTTCGTCTCTTACAACAAGTATGTGCATTTGTTATTTTCTTCTTATTAGATTAGATTAAATTGTTTAAAAATTATGAATTATAAAATTATAATAATTTTCACATCATTTTTATCTATTTCCTTCATATTAGATTAGATTAGATTAGATTATTTTAAAGCAATTACTTATATTGTATGTTTGATCTTTTTTTCAGATCGCAAAGTTTAATTATACTATTATTATTTAAATAAATATTGTTTGTATAAAAATCAAAGAGAATATCACACATATTTTAGATCTCAATGCCAATTATAATATTTACACATGGGTGTTGGTTAAAATAAATTTCATGTATGGGCTTAACATATATGATTCTACTTTAACCGGATTATATAATTTAATTTTTGTAACACCCAAACTCTTCCACAAAATCAAAAGAGAGTAGCAATGTTATAGCTATATATATATCTACAGGACCACAGATATCTTGAAAATGAACGAAGAAAACCATACAAATAAAAACCATATTAATTACCCACACGCACCCACAATTTTTAAAAACACTCTTCTCCATCTCCATCTATAATATATCCACATACTGAATTATGCTGCTAGAGTTTCTCCTCACCAACTACACCATCGATTAACTTGCCTTTTTCCTTTGTACTTAAATTGTATAACAATCATTTCAATGAGAACTCACATGGGCCCAACAAAAAAATAGTAGGCCTTGTAGTTAATTAATAATGAGATCATATCATTATAAACAAACTAAGTAAAGATTAATAATTCTTAAGAATGTACTACAATCCCCATGTTTTCACTGCAAACTTGTTAGTTGTTTGTTCCTGACCCCAAGAGATTTTCAAAATTAATCATCTATTTTATAAAAAAAATTTAAAATGTTTAAATAAATTTAATGGCAAATGTAATAATCCATATTTATAGATTTTAACTCAAAATGAATCTGACTAGTTTATAGTAAGATAATAAACAAAAAAATTTATTGTGATATTTAACCACGTGCATTGCACGTGCACAAGAACTAGTAGAATATAAAAATATAAAAGAAAACTTTTCTTGAGATTATGTAATAATAGCACAATATCGAAATAGGTACTGGTAGAATATATATTATCAGATGCAGACATTGATATTCTAATATTTCTATGTTTTTAGTGTCTTATGGTCTATGTTGCATGGGTATGGGTACGGATGTCGGTACAGGGACAGGACACGACAAATTTGTAAAAGGTAGGTTACTGCGACACGGCTACATAAATATTTACATACACATTACATATTAGAACTAATAATCTATATGAGAACAAGGATGAGAATTAAAAGTCCTATTACAGTTTTATGTTTTTTTATGATGTGGATTATAAATTGAAAAATCACTAGTTTTTGAACTAGACATCCAAACCACCCTTAAAAAATCATAATTCAAAACTTGACATATGTCCAAAGAGTTTCAAGAAGTACGTGCGAAGCATAGGCTATATGTCCAAAAATTGTATGACAAGTGTTGTAAATTAAAACATGCATTCATAAATGAGTACATGCCCAAATAAATGCATGCACATTTATGCAAGGAGACCCCAAGGAGTTTGGGTACAGGTAACATCCGGTATAGGTACGGTTTCATATTAGAAGCACCCAGGTAACATAGCCTATGGTATAAAAACTGTGCATCCATGGGTATAAAACTATAATCATAGATTTATTTTATTTCTAATTTAATTTATATGAATCAGTTTCTGCTGAATCAGACTGATTTGCCTCCACCTAGATTGGGTCAATCACTGCCATAGACTAGATCAAACCAATACTGGAATGTACAAGGTTTGTTTCACCAAGAAAAGCTTGTGAAACCAAACATAAAGGTCAGACACGATTTTTAGGCATTAAACTAATTGAGACCCTCCAGATCTAATCCCCCTGATTAATATCAATCAGAATTTCAAACCTCGGTCCACATGACTCGAAATCTGCTCCATCTGACTCATGGTGGTATTTTATAGCGCAACGACAACCGTAAAGAGGTCAAGTATTTCCCAGAAAATGACAAAATCTCAAGGAAAACAAGTCAACTGACAAAATGCATGGAGGTCACCTGAACAGTTGCAGCAGTCACTGTATCGAGTATAGTACTAGTTGTGTAGCTGCTGGATTGGAGTCTTATGCGCCTTGGTTCAAAATCTACAGGACTCTTAGACCAAAAGGCAAAGATGTTTGAATCAAGTACCTGAAAAAATTACAGATTTTAATATCCCTTTTTAAGATTAGAAGCATAAATCACACTTGACTTCTCAACAATGAACAATTCTATCATGAAGAGGACAAGAAACTTGCCTCCCATCTAGTGACATTCTCAAGGGGATAGATTCTCAATGTTCTGTTAGTGCTTGGATCAAGCATGCGAATTCCATCCAAACCAATCTGCAAAAAAACATAGATGTAAAAGCTTAACAAAATTATTGAAGTGACATAAGATTTAATCTGTTGATTTATGGTTCTCTAATTATACCGAAAACAGGCAATGTCTAACATAAGTTCAATAGGTTGGAGCAATAATCAAATGAGCAGAAGAAAAGAAAAATTATAGTTTCTTGATGGTCATTTAGAATGCAAAGTGGTGCTAAGAAAACTAAAATTTCTTATTAACCCAAAAGCAAGTTTCAAAAATATGGCCTGCATCAGACAGTTCAGTCTCTTTCATAGTTGATTGTACCTACCAGAGATGACCACTCATGGCCTGATACTTTGAAGTACCCTGATCAAGAATGTGGAAAGACCATGT